TGTATACATTTAGAAATTTGCCCCAGCGAATTAAATTAAAACTTAACTATAATAATTATGAATACTGAGGGGAAATTGAAACACGCATGAAAAGACAGGGACTTTTAAGTTTCTCCCTCTCACACATACGCACACAGAATTATACACACTTTTCTTTTTCTATCGGTCTCTTACGCATACACATACGCATGTAACCTCTTACACACTCACACCTAACTCACATATTCGCATGGTCATATTAATACATAAGTAATTCTGAAGACAATGCAATCATCCATACAGAAACAAGATAAATACCTTTTTTCTCTTCTTCTTCTGTCACATACAAGAGCACCTGTCGTTGTATATGAAGCAAGTCTCGAAAGCCGTTGCTACTGAGTCGTTTCTTCTCGCTCGGCGAGACCATCAATGTGGCCTGGCTCCGAAGATGGCTTTGTCAAATATGAACAAATAAATGAACGCTAGTCGTGCTGCAACTGTTAGCAACATAGACTCGCAAGGCGTTGCATAGTGAGTTCAATTTTCACCGGGTACTTCACTATAGTGGCCTTTGGCCCGACTACATTTTTACGCATAATCTTTTCTTCGCACACACGTCCCACCCAACACACACATCTCTCTTCCGTACGCGCACACTATGTTTTTTATGCAAATTACAAATATGCAAACAAGTTTCAAATTATTTTAACTTTTATACTTTATTCTGAAGGCTGTCGACAGAAAAAGAAATACACTTGAAAAACTTATGATATTAATTAGTGTTTTACTAAACGTAGCTTAGATGTGACACAAGGCCGCAAATATGAAGGACTAACAAAAATTCTCTTTTGACTCCTCAGTCGACTACACACACACACACACACACACACACACACACACACACACACATATATATATATATATATATATATAAGACTCAAACACTAATTTTCCATGGTTATAATTTTTATTACAAATTGGAATTGTAATCACGATCCAATTCAGGAATTATGCATACATACATACGTATATATATATATATATATATATATATATATATATATATATAAAGAGAGAGAGAGAGAGAGAGAGGGAGAAACAGACAGACAGACAAACATAGAAAGTTAGATAAATAATAGATAGATGACCAAACTGTACACTAGTACACAGAAAGAAAGAGAAAGATAGATGTTGCTTAATTAAAATGCTTGGAAGATATAGTTTTTTTTTTTTTTATATATAATAAATATAAAATATAATAAATAAAAATCATTTTTTACCCCGCCCATATTTCACACCCCGTACACTTCCAACATATACCCCCACGCACACACATATGCTCGCACGCACGCACGCAAACACATACTAATTTCTTAGACCGACTAGTACGCTACACACTAGTGAGCGCACGGACTAACACATTTGAATCTCTAGTACTTTGAATCTTGGGTAATAATGACTATATATGATGAATCTCTTTCCCTCTCTCTCTCTCTTCACACACATGCACACACACGCGCACGCGCTCAACAATGCGTACATATTATCACATACAGGTGTATACACACCATTCTTCTATACATTTTATATCATACGGGTTCATTTTGTTAGAATAGCACACGCACACACACACATATTACACCTGGCTATTCATTAAAAATACTCACAATACAAATTGTCAGAAGACACACCCTCACATATTCTCTAGAGAGTCCTTCAAACATATGCACGCCTACATAATATTAGTATCACACAGAGGCACACAATTTCGGTAAATCTTTGTATATAAGCAAGCCATCTATCTATATTGAAATTATTACCGCTGAAACATTAAAAGAGTCTGTGCCTCACGCTTTGGCAACAGTAGAAAAGATATCTTCTTCTTCGGAGATGCTGCCGACTCTTGTTATAAGAAGAAGGAGAGAGAGACACATACACAAAGAGAAAGAGAGACACGGAAAGAGTGAGAGAGAGAGAGAGTGAGAGAGTGAGAGAGAAAGACCATGTATTGTACAGCAAGTCTTATTATTGTAGGAAGACACTTTAAGATACTGCAAACCGCACAAACATTGGGGTTCAGGTTAGCTTTGTACAGATAACAGAAGCAGAGCTAATTTCTAAAGCAAGAAACCCACACAAGAGCGTGTTATATATATATATATATATATATATATATATATATATATATATATATATATATATATATGTGTGTGTGTGTGTGTGTGTGTGTGTACGTATGTATGTATATATATATGTATGTATAATATATATATGTATATAATATATATATATGTATGTATATAATATATATATGTATGTCTGTATAACACATACACACACATAAAGGGTGCTGAAAAGATCTCGAATTGACTATGAAGCTCTTCTCGATCTTCCTGATGTTTGGTCACTGGCTTATATTTAGGGTAATGAGTCCGAATGAGACCTTTTCAGCATCCCCATTGTATAGTTGAACTCCGTATGACACCATACGCATACATACTTGTGAATAGTGTATGGCATTACACGCTGTTCAATATACAAGTCGTGTGCAAATGGACTTTGATGTTCTTTTGCGGTTTGATACTAAAAAAAAAGGGAGAATTCTGAGGAAACGTAAAACAAGACAAACTTTATCATAAGGCAGCACGAGAACAAGTGAATGTGATTTGTTTTTTAGATATATCAAATAATGTAAACAGTAAAAAGAACACCCTTTAGACACCGTGTAGTACTTGTTCTTCTCACTGTCTCTCTCTCTAGAAATACACGTCAGGCCTGCGATTTATTGCACACAGATAGTATATACAGTTGCACTATAACACAGTTTTATATACTTTTTGAGACTTCTACGACAAAACAGCTCTTTAAAATGAATGAGCTATAGGTGTGCAGTATCTATGTATATATGTATGTATATACCTGATACTGCTGTATATATACCGACATAATGTGGTATGTAAGGAAATATATAGACTTGCGCAACACATGAAGTTACGGCATATCAATGAGTTAAATCTCTTTCCAGCCATTTCAAACTCTTCATATCTATCTATCTATCTATCTATCTATCTATCTATCTATCTATGCGTGTGTGTGTGTGTGCGTGCATGTGTTTGTCTGTCTGCGGAGACTTTTTAGTACTTCAGCTCACCCCGGTATAGCAAAAAAGCTGATATTCTTATTAAACTAAGCGACACGAAGATACGCTCGTATAACAAATGTCAATACGCAATACACAATGTGGCATCCACACATATCTTGTACCAGCAGAAGGAAACACAGTAAGTCAGACATATACACACGCACATACAGATACATCATCTGTAATTAAATTTGAAAAAAACTATAATAATTATTAATTATACATACTTCGTATGAACACAAAGGGAACATTTTAAAATAACACATTAAACAGTTGCACAGCGTAACGAGATTGACCACAATTTTGACAAAATGCTACTCTAATTAAAAGAGAAAACAGTTAATTAAGAAAGACAAACATGTTTAGAAAGTGTTTTAATCAACTAGTTCATCCACAGTTAATATGTGTGTGTGTGTGTATGTGTGTACTTAATCTTTGTACTTTAACTTTCAGCTGGTACAGACACATATACTCACGCGCAACCACAGAGGATCTAACTATAGTCATAAAGTTAACATAAACTAAACACAAGACAATACCCAAGCCTTTCTCTAAAACAAACCCGGCAAACTAGCGACACACACACACACACAGACGCACACACAGACGTACACACAGACGCAGGTGTGTGTATGTGTATGTGTATGTACGCAGACTTAGTGTGCTTTATTTATTGTGTTTAAATACAAATATCAACATATGCGCTCAGACGACGCACTGTAAAAAAAATGAGACACCTACACAGTCCGTGTGTGTGTGTGTGTGTGTGTGTGTGTGTGTGTGTATGTGTGTGTGTGAAATAACAAAATAGTATACACCCGTGTACACGGCATTACATACACGTGCCTGTCTGTGTGTATGTGTGTGTGTTTTTGTCTAATCAGTTAACGTTATTAAAGAAAGAGGCACACAGGTTTTTGCAGAAAAGAAAGGTGTCACCAATGTAGCTACGTTTTTTAACAGACGGTGTGCATGATGGAATAAAGAAGAATATATTGCATTCGTATTATTAAAAAAATGTTTCTACTTTAAAAGTCTGCTTCAAAACGTATTTTTCAACATATGTCGTATTCACGGAGACAGAGAAGACAAATAAAAAATCTTATACACACACAAACACACACACACATGGTTGAAGCAACAAAAACACATGCATGGCATAAGTAAAAGCATGCATCGAGTAAGTAACATAAAGAGGCAACTGTAAGCTTATATGCATTTTCACAAGTGCACATATATGAACGCATATATATATATATATATATATATATATATATATATATATATAAAAAAGTAAACATAGAATTGTAGTCCAGACGGACTCGGTTTCTTACCTCTACTTATTTTAATCAGGAAAGGCCCAAAGACTGTAACGGAGTATCACCGACCATCATCATCATTATTATTATTATCCTTCCTTGTCCTTACGGTCAAACAAAAAAAGTACTGGCTCTCTCTTTGGACTGGAGTTGTAACCACACCACACACCACTTCGTTGCTTGCCTCCCTCCTCTCCTCCCCTTCACCAAGATATTCACTTCACCCTCGTCCGACCGACCCACCAGCCAACCAGCCAGCCAACCAACCAGCCAGCCAGCCAACCACTAAGAAAAAATATTCAAAGCACCCCCCACCAACATCATGAACAGAAAGGAAAGAAAGAAAAGGAAAAAGGAATAACATTAAATAAAAGGATAAAACCTATATATATATATATATATATATATATATATATATATATATATAGGTTTTATCCTTTTATATATATATAAAGGATGTGTGTGTGTGAACAAGTAGAAGGAAGGCGGGAGAGGAGAAGAAGAAAAAAAGAAGAAGGAGGATGAAGCTTTCTTATTCTTTCTCTCAGCCAACTGACTGACTATGAAGTAACAGCAGCAGCAGCAGCTGAGAGAGATAAAGAAAAAGAAGAAGAACGCGCACGACCAGAAAAGAAGAAGAAGAAGAAGAAGAAGAAGAAGAAGAAGAAGAAGAAGAAGAAGAAGAAGAAGAAGAAGACACCGAGAAGGTAAGGGAAGATTTTCTGCTCTGTCTGTCTGTCTTGTCTGGTGGTGGCAGGAGGAGTAGTAGGAGGAAAGTGAGTAGAAAGAAGGGGAGGCAGGTGCACGTGGGAGGAAGAGTGGAGGGGAAAAAGCAGATGAGGGGGTGGTTTGTCGATGTGGCTTGAGGAAGGAAAGGAGTGACGGGTGGTAGGAGGGTTGCTGAGAAGGGAGTAAGATGTGTGTCGGGAAGGTAAGGAGGCAAATGTGGGCTGGGTGGGAACAAGTGGGGGAGGTACGGTAAACGACTGCGCGAGGGAGAGGTGGGTTATTGAAATGGATTGGGGAAAAAAAGAAGGAAGATGCGGAGGGTAGACGTGGAAGGTGAGAGATAGGGTCGGCGGAAGGGAAGGAGGTGTCGTTGCTGGAGGTGAGTGGGGAGCGGGGTTGGGAAAGAAAGTGTTGATGTTGGGAGGTGAGAGGTAAGAAGATCAATGTAGGTAGGTGGGCGAGGAGGGAGAAGACAACAGGGGAGAGAGGTTAGATGTATGCGTCTGCGTATGTGTCTGTGTGTGTGCGCGTGCGCTAAACGCGTCTCGCGTGTGTGTGTGTGTGTGTGTGTTTGGTTGGGTGTGTGTGTGTGCGGAGGGTGCGTGTCGGCGTTGGGGTTGGGAGTTGAGTAGACGTGAAAAGGTGGCTGAAGAGAAAGAGGGAGAAGAAGGTGGGGGTAGGGAGAGGGAATGGACTGGCTGATACGGGGTTGGGAGGTGAGAGAAGAAGAGGGGATTTGATATGGAGGCGAGTGAATGTGGAAGGGCGAGGTGGGAGGTTGAAGAAAAAATGGAGGGGGAAGATGGGAGGGTGAAAACAGCTACAGGAGAGGTGGAAGAGGTTCAGGTCGGAGAGACTTGGCTACTTACATTGAGTTGGTGCGTGTCGGTCGTCTACAGTGTGAATCTATACATACATATACATATCTGTGTGTGGGTTTGATGCGAACACACATGTCATTACAGATTGCGTATACCTATGATAGTAAACTGCTATACATGTGTTTATGCGTTTATATTATTGCATGTGATGTTTGGTATAAGGTGTTCACTTTAAAAAATTACAGCAATAATTCATACGAATTTTTAACGTGAACACCTTACCATATTTAAATTTTATATATTTACGTCAATACTCAAGGGTGTGCTTTGAAATTTGTATTTTTTTTCTTTGAACGCGTCTCAAAAAAATTAAATGTGTGTATATCGCTGTGTGTATAATTACTTTACGTATGTCTAAATAAATGATGCTTTTTCTGTTCGTAAGTATTTTATTTCAGAAATAAGTGTATTTGTTTGTGTATGTGTGTGTGTGTTTTTGTACGTGAGTGTGTGTGTGTGTGTGTGTGTGTGTGTATGCGCTTATCCTTTAGGCGAATAATGTGTTGCTTCTGTTTACGACTTTTTGATATTTTGTATACACACGCTCACGTTATCTTATATCTTGTGTGTGTATATTTTTATTATTTTATATATATATATATATATATATATATATATATGTGTGTGTGTGTGTGTGTTTGTGTGTGTGTTCATTGTGGAAAAACGTATGCCCATCCATTTGTATTTGTTGGGGGATTTTTACCTTTCTGCTTTATGGAGGGATGGTGATTCCTTTGTGTTGGTCAATTTTTAATGTATTTATTTATTTATTTATTTTATTTTATTTTTTTTTGTAATAAACATTTTGTGAATAACATTTTTTTGTTTCATCCTTAATACTTAAAGTAAAGATGACCACAAAATGGAAATTTATTTCCATCTGCGTGCATTTTTCTGTAAAATAAAATGTGTATTTATTGTGTGTCGATGTTAAACGTTCATCAGTGGTACTGTTAATTAAAAATTTTATTTCTTATATATTCATTTGACTTGTAGGGTATGCTAAAAGAAACTGTTGTATGACTATGAAGCTGTGTAGTCTACACATCTATTATTTCTTGTATCCATGGATATTTATTTACATTTAAAGTGCTATAGTTGGGGTGACTTTACGTTGGGATGCTCATATCCTAGTAGATGTTCATAATGTTTAAAAAAAAAAAAAAAAAAAAAAAGGACGCTAAAGCAAAATGGCATGAATTTTGGAGATAGAAAGATTGTGTTTTTTATCTTCCAAGCAGGGGAGGGCCTGTCTAACGTAAAATCAACATTCGAAATCATGTTTATTTATTTTAACCCAGCACAAATTTGTTTTTACAAAGATGAGTTTAGACTGACACAGGGTTGCAATATTAGGCCACCCTGTGATGATCGAACTCACTGTATGCACATCTGTGTAACGATTTTTTTTTGTATTTATTTACTCTTTGCTGTTATTGTGTATTTGTGCATCTTTGAGTTTCTCAACAGTTTTTTCTTTTTTTCAAAATTAATATTTCTGCTTGAGGCAAATGTTGTGTGTGTGTGTGTGTGTGTGTGTGTGCGTGCATACGTGCGTGTGCGTGCGTCTCTGTGTGTGTGTGTGTGTGTGTGCCACACAACTTCCAGCCAGTATCATTAAAGAGAGAAAGAGAGTGAGAGAGAGAGAGAGATTAGGAAAAAGACGATGAAATGAGACGACAGGAAGGAAGGTTAGTTTGACAATTGTATTAGTGACATGGTTCATTTTGATGTTGTTTATACACCCTAAAAAAATAATATATTGGTGAGAATACACTGTTTGAGTAGACAGGTGCTTGTGTGTCTGTGTTATCTTGAACACTAGTGTGCGTATGTTTCTGTTTAGTAAGTTTCAAATATACCAACCAGCTTAATATCGATGTGTATATGACTCCCAGAGATGTGTGTGTGTGTTAGAACCGATTTAAATTTATATATATATATCAATTTTAAATATATAAATAATAGATAATAAATAATAATAATTACAATCTTTTTTTGTCCTAGATAGATTAAATAATTCAAAAATGGAATAGATAAAGATGCACAAATTTAATAGATAGAATGAAAATAGATGGAAGGGAAACAATCCAGTAATTATTTTTAAAAATAAAAGCACCTAGAAATGGGTCTATGGATGATAGATCCAAAGATGTTGTGCCATTGGCATTAAATTCAAATGATAATATATTTATATATAGAATTCTCATGAAAGTCTTTCATACAGGAGAGTTATGTTTGTGAATGTGAATATGCTATTTAATATATATACATACAACATTTGCAGAAAGATTTCACAAAAGTTGAATAGATGACAAGTTGAAAGAATGTCTAAAAGTATTCATGGTCAAATTAAGAAATGAAAACTGAATAAGGAAAATAAATAGATAGATAGAATCACCGGTTTTTACAGAACAAAAAAAATCTTTCAAACAAAAAATCAAAAGACTTTTTGAAAAATTCAACGAATAAAGTCCATCCAGACAAAATTTTTCATCGAAAATATAAAAACCATAATTAAAAAAATTAGCTCAAGATTTACGAATATATATATACGCCATTTCCAGTATATAAATCCATTGGGAAACGTTTTGAGTTATTCAAAAAATTGATCCACTAAAATTGTTGTACAGGAATGTGCGTTTTGTGAAATAGCTGTTTATATCTTTATCTATATTTATATGCAACTTTCAAAAAATTTTCTTTGCATGCATTCTTTAAATAAACTGTTGAATCCATATAAGTTTTTTGAAGTGCACAGCAAAGAGGAGGAAACCATTGCAACTGTTCAAAACCGGAAAAGAAATCATTTTTTTTTTTTCTTTTATCAGATCCTGGCTCAGTTTGAAGAACTTCAAACTGGCCAAAAATTCAATAAGGCATTTAAAAAGATTTTTAAAAAGATTTTATAAGGTAAACCTGCTCAGTTAATTTGGCGAAGTTGCGACAAATTAACACCTCTACAAAAAAATTAACAATTAGTTTTTTATCAATCATCCCTAATATTAACAATTAAATATGCAATTATTGTTTAAATTATTTATATATAAACATATATATAACCAAATTTCACATTTTTTCACCTGTGGTTTACAGTAAAACAATCATTACTAATGTTCATATAAAAACTCTTGGAAAAAAATTTAATCTCACCTTCAGTTATAATTTTGTTTATTATTAAATTTGTGAGACAATGCCATTATGAGAAAAATGGTCTGAGAAATTTCATGGCATATGGCCTTTTAAATTTAATCCCGAACATTGTCTAATAAGAAGTGTGTATATATATATATATATATATATATATATATATTTAATGTCACAAATGGCATCAAGCAAGGTTGTGTCATGGTCCCCATCCTTTTTATCCTATTCTTCTTGGTGATGCTGAAATATGCATTTGCAGACACAGAGAGTGGCTTCAAGTTTCAGTTTCGAACAACTGGTGATCTCTTCAATCACCAGCGCTTCAAAGCCAAGACCCACCTTTGTACACAAATTATTCGTGATTTGTTGTTTGCTGATGATGCTGCTCTTGTAGCGATATCCTTTGAGGAGGCCCAACATCTAATAAATCATTTCTCTGCTGCATGTAAAGCATTTGGTCTTACACTTAGCATAAAGAAAACTGAAGTTGTGCACCAACCTTGTCCTACTCTGAAGTAATTCTGTGGTGAGAAACAAAAACCAACAGTCTACAAATTTCCAGAGACCATTGAAAGTAGAAGACAAACACCTGAACTATGTAAAGTCATTCACCTATCTTGGTAGCAAAGTCAATTACAGTGGAACTTCAGATGATGAAATCATGCATCAGATTGCTAAGGATACCAGTGCTTTTGGCAAACGTCGCCATTGCTTGTGGAATGAGCGGGGTATTCGACTGGATACGAAAATTCGGGTTTACAGAGCTGTTGTACTTGCCATCCTTTTGTGGACTCCATACAGGTACCATATATGCCAGCTAGATGTTTTCCATAAAAGCTGTTTCCGTGCAATCTGTGGAGTTAAGATTCAAGATAGGAAATCTAACATAGACCTGTTTAACAGGTGTAATATTGGAGGAATCGAGACTTATCATACAGTCTCAGTTACGGTGGACTGGTCATGTCTTGAGAATGTCGGATGACAGGATAACCAAGATCCTAATGTACAACCAGTTAGATCATCTCACAATCCTCACACTTGATCCATATGTGGCCTCCTTTGTAAATCACTAGCGGGTCTTAAATGCCACTTAAGATTATTGCACAAAGTTTCATAACTGAATCAATAAGCTGTCAGATCCTCATATGTCAAAACCGACAGGAGAGTCCATTATTATTATAAATATATATATATAAATAAATATATATATATATATATATATAAATAAAATAATAAAGAAGTTAATGGTCAGAGTTAAATTAGACCAGGAAACAGTAGTATTAACAAAGTGCTCAATACACATATAAAAAGGTAAAAATTTAACATGTACAGCTTTTAAATAAAGAAATATCTTCAGACGATTTCAAACCAAAATTGTCTAAAGATACTGAAAGTTTGAAACCAAGGATGTGGAATTGGCTGATCTCTTAATATTATATATATATATATATATATATATATATATACACAGGGCACAATGGGTAAATTGTTGCCAGTGACTGCTAGAAGACCCTATGTCTGATAACAGGACCCTGCACCATGCCACACAAGTAGGAGAATCTACTCATGATTGCCAGACAATTTCTGTGACCACATCACCCTTACAACTGGCCACCTAACTTCCCAGAATGCAAATCCCTTGATTATTATGTGTACATGTGTGTAGGGGGGGGGGTCACAGTTGAGATGAAAAAACTCCTTGTAACACCAAAGGTGAATGGAAGGCAAGGATTATGGCAGCATTCACCAACTTAAACATGAACTATTCAGAAGAGATGCAGGAGACTTCAAAGTCATCTGGAGGCCGTGATTTTATTGAATAAATTTACTCTTTAGTATTTCAAGATATTTTTGTGTTATTTTTGTAAATATATCTGTTAAAATGAGATGTCAGTTTTATTTTCATTCTTGCATAATTTAGATGACAATTTATCCATCGCACCCTCTCTGTGTGTGTGTGTGTGTGTGTGTGTATATATAAATTATATATGTGTGTGTGAGTGGGTGTGCATATTCACTGATATAATCTGTATAGAGGACAGTTTGAATAGAAGAAAAAGGAAAACTGTATTTAACTTCAGCCAACACATTTCGTCCATTGATGTACTTTATCATGGTAAATGTGAAATGAATTTATTTGCAATGTACCCAATCAAAACAAAAATGAAATGTTCTTAGTTACCAAAAAATGTTAATATATGTCATTTTGCATACATGAAAAGGACAGTACGAATAGAAGGAAAAAGACATTTTAAATTCAGTTTTCCTCATGCCTTTTTTTCTTCTAATCATATTGTCCTCTCTACAGTAAAATACATACAAATTGTCAACATGGAAAACTAAAATATATACACTTAATCAGAGAATATATTCAACTGCTAACATCAGATCTAGAGAAGGACAAAGAACTTTCTCAGATACTGCATTGAAAAAGTCATCATTTTCCAATATTCATTTTCTTTGAGTATGCATAATGATGTATTTTAATATTCTTCAGTTGAACTTATTATTTATCAGTGTTTATAATTTTCTAGTAACTAACAACATTTCACTTTTGTTTTGATTGAATACATTGTTTCCAAATAAATTTGTTTTGCTTTTACCTGAATAAAGTCCATCAATGGATGAAATGCGTTGGCTGAAATAGAAAAGTTTTCTTATTGTCTTTTTTCTTTTATATATATAAATATATATATTTATGCCTTGATAAATTCCCTCTGAGGATGAAACATGTTACCTAAGAATAGTTTTTCCTCTTGTCTTTTTATTCATTTTGTTCCTTTACAGATACACCCTGCTTGAAAATAATATATTAGATGTATGATTACTATGCACCCAATGCCTGCTCATGGGCTCTGTAATGATTTTAAAACAAGAAAGTCTTTTAAAAGTTCTATTAGACTTCTGACAAATGAATTTATTTTGGATATTTGTTTATCCCATGTTTACATGATTAATATTATGAACCTTTCCATTGCCCAGTGAGAATAGTCTTGTTCTTACATTACTTACAATACAAGACTAAACAAAATATTTGAACCCTTTTCATAGTGAGAACAGATACCACACTCTGATCCTAGGTAAAAGTGATGCATAGTAACACTTTGATTCTCAGTAGATTGGTACAGATGCCATACCCTGATCTTGTTCAGAGTATCATGGTGTGAAAACATGCGGAAAGTGCACAGATACTTCACTCTGATTCTAGGATAAAGAGCCAGGGATCTACAGAAATGCCAATCCATCTGTAAATGTCATTTTTTATCGATACTATGCTAGTTCATATGATAAAGTATTTTTCATACAACCTTTGCCATTTCTACCAGAACAAAAATGCAGATTATATTAGAAATAAAACTAAAGTAAAGTAGTTCTATGAATTTTAAATGGAAATATTTTCTGCCAGGTCAGCTGTAGGCTTACATTCACTTCTGTGTTTTTTGAGAGAATAACTCGTGGAAAATTTTGTCCCACAAACCTCACATGAAAAAGTCTTCTCCACATTGTGTGTTAATAAATGTCTTTTAAGAGTGTAACCTCTAGAAAATTGAGTTCCACAAAACTCACAATGGAATGGTT